ATGAAGAAATGTCTTCATGAAATCATTGACTAGTTTTAGCACAGGAGGAGGTAATTCAGTTTGTCATGTCCATGCTGTCTCTCTGCAAGATCAACTCAGTTAGCTCCACTTCCCCACCCTTTCTCTGTAGCCTTCCAAACTTGTATTTTCTCTTCTTCAGATAATTATCCAAATCCTTTTTAAACACCACAATTGAACCTGCTTCTAACACATGCTGAGACAGTGCATTCCAGATCTACACTTATATGATGTAAAAAGGTCTATCTTGGTGCCACCATTGTTTTTTCTGACATTCACCTTAAACCTGTGTCCTCTAATTTTTGATCCTTCTGCCAACAGGAACTGTTTCTGTCTATCTACTCAATCCAGAACTCTCATGATGTTGAACGTCTCTTATTAAATCTCCTCTCATCTTTCTTCTAAGGAGAAAAGCTCCAGTTACTCCAAATCTATCCAAGTAACTTTTTGGACCCATTCTCATTCAGTGGTTTTTGTAGCAATTTCATGCTTCTGCTCCGAAAACTGCACTCTGGATCACAGAGAGCATTAAACTCTTACATAAAAAAAAATTCTCTATAAAGTTCTCGTCCTGAACATCATAGAGTGAAATTAGAAAAGACAAAAAGGAGTGAATAATGAGTGGTCTCTATAAAAAATTGCAAAAATGAAGCTCCCGCTGAGCAGCACTGTCAACAATGCAGCCCTACCACTAGCCTGGCAACCCAGAGGGGTGCACAGATTCCTGATAATGCAGGATCACAGCACCACAGCTTAAAATATCCCGTACTTCATAGTTTCTTCTTCCCTTGTTTATTACTTGTTTTACTGGAACAGAACGTGAAGCAGGGAATAACACTTTATAATGCTTCTTTTTTGGCCAAGACATAATTTTATATGCAATACTACATATACATAGAAGGTTGAGACACTAATAAGTAGAACATCAGTAGATAACAGGTTTTTAAAAAAAACATAGATAATTAAGTGAAGTGTACAAATTGCTTTCCATTCTAATGCATGAAAACTGCACATTGTCTTTACTTTCAATTATTTATAATTGCCACACACAGTCACTGGTCTCTCTCTTAAGTCATGCCTTGTAATATAAATTATTGAAAATCCATTTAAACAATAGTCTGGGAAAGCTTCAGTCAATACTTAAACACTGCTAAAAAAGATAGACAAAAGTTAAGCTTTATGTCTTGCACTCATCAGGACTGGGATGAAAGAAACGAAACTTAGTAATGGAACACCAATTTTTCGATTCAATTAATTCAAGTATTAGCCTGTTCTCCTCTTTCATAGTCTGATCAATCTGTTGGTGCATTCCACTATTTCCATTTGTAGCCATTTTTTAAAAAAAATCCAAACAAATTGGAAGACGTACACAGAACCAGAATCAATGCCCAACATTAACATTCACTGGTTTGCATTTATTTAATGGATATGTTTTCATGTGGATAATTTTCTTTAGTAAGGATTAAATGAAAAGCAAAAAAAGCCACAGGTATGGCATGTGTCCCTTCCAAATATAAAAGAGCAAAGACCACTCAATTCTAAATTTGGTTTCTTGTGTCCCAGTCCTGTTGAGTGCAAGACGAAAAGCTTCGACTTTCTGTTTCTTTTTAGCAATGTTCAAGTCCTGTTCTGCCAAGCAATACTTAAATGCCATGGAAGTCTGTTATAACCTGGTTCAATATCCTGCAAATTCACTCATTGAGTGGAGGCCCCAGAGAGGTGAATCTTTATTTAAGTCGTCATTTTGCGAGTTAACCTTTCCCATGAATCATATTAGCATAGAAATAGCCTAAAAATGTTAAGGCTGGTAAAGGAAGAGCCATCATTCAGTTGTGGGGAGAAAAGGCTGATCATTATGCTGCACTTTATGGTTTCAAGCGATTATTTTAACAAAAAAAATCATCATACTCAAAATAAAAGTGGCATACTAAACCTTGATTATGAATGAGATAACAAAGTGTCGACTTTCCTGCTCCTCTGATGCTGCCTGGCCTGTGGTGTTCCTCCAGCTCCACACTGTGCTATCTCTAACTCCAGCATCTGCGGTTCTTGCTATCCTTGATTATGAATGATGTGTTTTGGTTTGAGCAACAGGTTTTCTGATTGCAACAATGATTGTTTTGAACATAACTGAGACAATAAGTTATTCTGAATGCCCTATTAGAACAATTTTTTATTATGAGAAACAGTAGCTGGAGAAAGCCTTAATCTGACACATCTTAAGTCAAGGTTTACTTTAAAAATAACTTCACTGGCAAAATTATAATCAAAAGTTAAAAAAGAACGATTATTCAGAGTTTGTTCCCTTTTAATTTCAATATTTGTTCTGTACATGCATATATTTTATTTATTAGATATGCAAATTATACAATCTACCAAAGACACTTAGCAACTGGGCACATATTTGGTTTAGAAATGCCAAACTTGTGTCTTGTGGCTCCCAGTAGTTTTTATTTTAGGCAAGTTATTTTAAGAAAAGGTTCTTCAGATAAAAAAGCTTGTTGACCCCTGAATTAGTAGATTTTAAAAGAGCAACTAACTAACCTGCGGAAAGCAAACACATTAAAAGCCAATCTACGTCAACAGTATGGAAGGAGTGGGCCTGAAACTTTGTGGACAGCAAATTAGTCACGATGTTGATTATTTCTATGGCAAATATGGCAGAGTGACCACTTGCAGAGAATCTGTGCAAAAGGAAAGCTCATAGAGGCACATCCAGCTGACCCACGCGCACACGCACGCAGACAGACAGACACACACACACACACACGCACACGCCCAATGAGAGGCTTTCTTTCTGATCAATTTACATTCGACTACCACATGGCGATCACCTTTCTGAGGCTGACACCTTCCTCAGCAGTCACTGTCTGAAGCAAACCTCTGATTCTTCCCGCTCTTCCTTTCTCCTTTCCATTTCCCAGCTCTCAGGTGTGCTTGGTGTTTGCTGATTAAATGAAAAGCAGGAATGCACAATGCTTCACCTCTTTTCAGATGGGAGGCAAGAGGAGCCCACCCACAGCCACAGGATTATCAGCTCCATCTGGGAGCAGAGTCATTTTTGTCGAGGCCCCAGTGAGTGTGATTGTTCAATGCAGGACACTGATAGATGAGACAGCTGACATTTTGGACTGAACTGAGATTCGTTGCAGGAGATTGCTTTTAACCCTCTGAGTGCTAGGAGTGGGTTCCTTCTCCTCCTCCCCCTCCGAACATACCATCCAAACCCATGACCTCTATCACCTAGGAGAACAAGGACGGCAAATGCACAATGCCTGGATCAAAATCCTGGAACACTTTCCACATTCTCAGTGTACCTACACTGCACACGCTTCAGCAGTTAAAAGAAGGCAGCTCGCCACTACCTTTTCGATGGCAATTAGGAATGGGCAATAAATGCACCCAGATCAGTCCGGTCTTCATAGTTCAGAGATATGGCCAACAGCACTGTGAGAAGGTCAATGACCTTCTCTACTAGGTCAGGCTAAGAGTCATACTCTTCTCTTTGCTACTTCACACTCACTCTATCTCTGCTACTGCACCTAGGCTCATGCTCTGCCACTCTCACTACTGCCTTTAACATCTCCCCTCAGTCACTCTCTTCCCCTCAACCTCCCATAGCACTAACCCTGTAAGGCTTCTGCGGTGTCTATTCAATCACCCTAGACACCTCACTATCTTTACATCACCTGCACCAGTACTAACAGCTGTACCACCCACTTCCATCTCATTCAATCCCTCCTTTTCTCTCATTCCGGAGAAGACAGCCCAAAGTAGAGCAGAAAGGAAGCAGAAGGCTGCCTGACATCAGGCTTCTCATCCGTTATTAGACAATCTTGTGCCTCTGAGGAAGAGATAGCCAAAGCCCTAGAGGAAATATCAGTGAAGCTGCCTCCTGCACCTACCTCCAGCGCAGATACTGATACTTCAGTGGGAAGTCACACTTAGAAAGTTTTCGAGCACAAACTAGTGAGCACCTCACAGTGACAGACTTATTTTGCATTAACTTGTTTGAGTCTCTGTACTTCCCAATGTAACTGTGCTAGCATGATGCCTAACTTCATGTCCATACAGGATGGACGTTGGATTAATGTCTGTGTTGACAGCCTGCA